TTTTTTCGGTTTCCTGAAGTCGAGCGTATGGTTTATGCGGCTTAAGTTTATATACGAGCAATGATCTAACCTACAATAGTATCAGGTTTAAAAAGCCTTTAGACATTTTTTGACCGCAAATTCAAAGAAATTGTTCCAAGATTATTTACTTATGATTTTGGCTGTAAAAAGAAAGCCCTGAGCGATTTTCTTGCCTCGAGTTCATCTTGAAAAAGAGCAAACACCGGGAAGCCGGCTTAAAACATAAATAAGCTTATGCTTACCTGACTCATGATTTTCAAAGACACTTTACTCTCAATACTTCTCTTCGTGAATGAAAATTATTGTCTCTGTACATGTTTCACCGAATTATATTTATTTTATTGATTGTTAGTAGTCCCTCTCGCAATTTTTGTCGCTGCACCGGCTGTATCCAGTCGAACATAAACATCTCATGCAGGAATACTCAAAACGCCGCGCGTAAATATCACTCGCTTTTAAAGATTACACATAACAAAACCGTACGCAGTTTAATAAATAAAGGGAAATAAAACCTAAACATACAATTTATCTATCATGTTGAAGCGTAAATGGTAACTCTATTAATCGCACTGCAAATTTAGTGCCTGTCAAAAGTGAGCCCCGTCCGGCTGGCCGAAAAGTGATTTTGGGAATTTTTTTATCGTTTTCATTAAAAGCCCATTTTACCCTGCATATCACATAGGACCAGAGTTTTCTAACTGAAAGTCCTGGCATTTTAGAATTCTCTTCATGAAAACGTTTTATAATTCAATGCTATAATTTGTTGTGCAAAGGAAGCGCGTGCTTTGATCGTCGTGGATATTGAATGAGTGCAATTTCTCTTGCAAAATTGTGAAAAACTGCAGAATTATAGGTTTAAATAGGGCAAAAAAGAACAAATTCTGTCCGAGGTCTGTATGATAAAAACAAGGGCCTCATAGTACTGTTTACCTGAGACGTGATGAGAAAAAGTATGTTTAAAAGGCTGGTTTACACGCCACCAGATTCGTCGCCAAGATTTACTAGTAAACTAAACTTGTCGAACACAAAAAATCCGGCCTGATTTTTTATTTTGGCCTCTCTTTTAGACAGAGGAATGCAACGTGTAAATTGGCGCCTGTGTTTCTTAAAATTATATTTCGGGGCTGTCCAATTATCCATAGTCTCTCAAACGGAGCAATGTTGGAAAGAGTGGTGAATGCCACATTATGATTCAACAGCTAATGCAAATACAATACACGAATAGGTAGGTCTATTTGTTTTCCAGGCCTAATCTACTGTGATCGAACATGATTGCTATTTTTGGGTGTACAAATAAGACTATTTAATAACTCGATGTAAAAGCTGTTTCACTCTTGGACTGTCAAATTATTTTTCTCTAAAATCACTTAGCCTTTGCCTCAAACGTCAAATGAATGTGCCCTGATCTGCGGATTACAAGTTTATTGTTTGATTTAAATTATGAATTTACTAACGGGAGCTTCGCTTTTAGCCCTGGCTAAATCTATATATTATTTTGTCATTACTTAAATATAATATATGTTACATAATTTTAACCATATTCAATTTACGATCTGAGTATTATTTTACCATCTCTCTGAATAAGCTCAACATCTTGCTCATATAATGTTAATGCGTAAATTGAGTAGGCTGCTGCCGTTGTTCCAGATAGCTCATATTTAAATGTCAGTTTTGTAGTGCCATCCTTAATGTCCATTTTCTGTTTTGTTAAGTCGAAATATAGGAAGGGGAATAGCGTACTAAAATTAGATTTACTGAATAATGACCCTTCACCGTATTCATTATTTTTGTGAACATACTTCACACATCCCTGAAGACTCTAGTCATATCAGTAGTTGGTGTGTAATGTAATTCGGGGTATTCGTTACCATTTCCAACTTCCAGGTGACAATTGGATAAGGTTCTTGGGTCAGTTGATACAGAGAATGTGTTGTACAAGAATGGATTAGCTGTCTGGGCATCGATATTCGCATCATTGATTATGAATACAAACACGTGTCGGGGTTTCGAAATACCAGAAGAGATTCTGAAATGCCCAGCTCTCTGCTGGCTACTATTTGATCTTTCAATATTCTCTCTCAAATAAGTCCACTTATGATTTTTAAGGTATTGGCTCATATAGGATGATTGGCCCTCACTGTTAAAGGTTATCCGTGGAACATACAATTGCATTCTGGTGATAACCACCCTGCAATCAGCCCCGGCTTGCCAAATTAGATAAAGATTATGCTACAATAAACGCGTTTCAAGTATTAACTAATAAATCGCGACAATCTCCACCGTCTGAATCCCAAACAAGCTATAAATATTTTAACCTATTTGGTATGACTGCCACAAATATGGAAGACCCAACTGATGCTACTGATGGGGTTAATCTGAGAACATTGAATAAACATAATATAAAGCCCTCTGATCACACCAGCAGATTTGCATATCTGATGGACCCTACAAATGGTCTTTTACAATGGACTGATTTACTAACCAACAGTATTGCCCTAAACAGCATTGGTGATTTGAATGCAACATCAGGCAATTATCATACATACAATAAAAAGGTGATTTTCGCATCCATTAGAAAGAACTCGCAAGGAGGTTATAAATGGCAATTAGCTATTCAATGCTATCCCCTTCAAAAGGTCAAAGAATACACATTGTGTTTGGAAATCCTCACTACAGATTATCAACTGTGCACAAATCAGTAATCACTGTTGATACAACTACCAGCCAGGGAGTAACTATAAAAAACTGGCATGTTAATAAGTACTCACATGAGTATGGAACATCTTCCAATCAAGTTGAATATATGTACTATCATAAACTCCTGGTGACATTCAGTAAGACAGCTTCATCCAGTCCTTATTTCTTACATATCCAGGATGTTATGGCTCAGTCAGGAATTGACTTGAATGCATATCCAACTAATTTCAATAAATATTACCTAATAGCTTACGGTATTCTTGGTGAGTCAATGGATTTAGATCCAAACAAAACATATGATTACCATACAGCGTTTGATATTAAGCCGACTGAAGTTGTTTACAATGTTAATCTGGATATGAACAGAAAGAAAATATTAAACATTGCTCCTGATCGCACAAAAAATATTTCGGCGGCGACTGTAAAGATCGTCAAAGATTTAGAGACAAAATTGGGCCCTCATACAACAAATAATGCATATAGGGAAATATATGAAGAATTTTATGATTTAAGCGATGCTAGTCACTACAAAATAGTACAAGGAATATCAGGTATCATGGTTTCAGGCATCCTACCTAACATTTATTTTCCTAGAATGGATATTGCCAATATTTGGGAGGGCGGATTGAGGATACAAAATACCACATTAAGTTTGGAATTATTCAGTAAAAGGAACTTTACTCTTTGTGTTGTTATGCGACTATGGCTGAACAGATCACTCAGTATAAAAACGTTGATGAGTAATGGAGCTTATGAAAAACCACATTTGATTTATGACAAAACAACAAAGAAATTAAAACTGCAAACTAATGGTCTGAGAGCTGGGTCAACTAACGAAACTTCTATCACATTACTAGACAGTTTTAATGGTAAACGAGTTGTGTTTTGGTTAACTAAGAAAGGTACAGGGGGTGACTTAGCAGTAAAGGCATCAATTAGTAATTATAGTGGAACATTAACACTAAGTTCAGCTTTAGCATCTCAAAGTACCTATACATTCAGAATATTCTCAAAAGATACAGTAATCTATAGAATAATGTACACTCCAAACTTTCATGACCTGGATTCTAGGGAATTTCATATAATGATGTTGCAAGAGAAATTGAACAGTTCTTATGTTCTATAAATAATCTAAACTAATTAATATAAATGAGTATATTCAACTTCAACCATATTGACAAAAACAAAACAAAAGAAGAGATACAGGAGATTAAAGAGCTGTATAAATATTACCACTATAGAGACTGGTGCTATCAAAAAGCCTATACACACTACAAAAAAGCCAATCTGGCTTCTAATATTGTATCGGCGGGTTTAGTCATTATTGGTAGCGTAGCTGGTGGCATCACAGCCAATCCCATTATTATAGGTACTGTAACAGGCGCCTGTGTATTACTCAAAACATTTTGTGAAACTAAGAACTACAAACGTAAAATAGAAATGAGCAAATATGCATATACAACATATCAGAAAATATTAGCCGATCTCAAAACTTCGCTTCGAGGTGCGCCCTTTAATAAACAGGACTTTTTAAAAGAGGTTAATATTCTTAATGATACAATTATAGATTTCTGTCCATTAGTAACAAAATTTGAAAAACAATATGGAAAAAATTCCTCTCTACCCCCACTACTAACTCTAATTAATATCCTCCTTGATGAGATCATAGATTTGAGCCCACCATTGACTGTAATAATTTAACGTCTTTTTTGATTTTGTGAGAGGAATAAACTTGCATTCTATTCCTCACATGTCGAATAGTAGTTTAATGATAAAGTTTACACTAATAAGCCGTTTTCGGCGAACACCCGGTTGGTGGGTAACATTATCAATTAGTTTGAATATTCTCAGGATATTCTCTCTATTATAATAACCGATTTGAATGCCGTTTGTTTGTGCGATATCATTCATGACAGTTATGATGTGATATTTTCTGTGATATACGGACTTTCTTTTTATTCTGTATCTATTCTCATAAAAGTCAATATACTCGTTTGCTGTTAAATAATCATGCACTTAGCCACAGTTAATACACACGAGATAACCGTCCTTAACCAATTTCATATTACTACAAGAAAAATATCTCTTTGGTTTACCCGGGTCTTGAATCTGCTTACAACAAAAGATGCAATTAATAGCATTCTCTTCCTGGATCAACATTTGGTGAATTTCTTCAGTACACATTACTATATACTATATGGAGATTATATTTTTATATATTTTTATGCCCATACGCATAACTCGTAATTCCATCCTCGAGTATATCATGATCTGATAACTTATTATTCCCATTGGATTGTCAAGTCACCGATCAATTGTTGTTGCTTAGCGGTAATCTTTGTCAATGCTTCCTCTTTGATCTGTTTTTTGTATTTAGCAACTGATCTATAACGTTTGCCATCAATCTTAACATCGTAGTATAGTAGCTTATTCATGGGATCATCCTTGATTTTGAGTTTATCACCAAATTTCTGGCGCAGACGGTCGCGCAATTGATTTTCTGTCTCGATTTGCGCTTGATGTTTGTATTCAATTTTGACCGTCTGTTTAGGGACTGATTGTTTGTTGAGTAAACGGTCCCCATATTTTACACTATAATATCTGATACATTCGGCTTCCACTCTGTTTAATTCTTGACGATCCTTACAAGGTGCGCGTATCATTGGTGTGATCGTTGGATTGTCACCCTTGTATTGATATATTGCACTTGATTTTGTGGTCACATGTTCATTAAGCAGTTCTTGTACATTTCTGATAGAGCTACCAATATACAATTTATTGTTGTGTTCGAATGTGATCTTATATATTTGCCCACTATGGTAGTCGTCATTGAAGTAACTATTTACTGTAACAGTTAGCGGCGGCATTCTGATTTCGTATTTGGGGTTCAATTTTGTTGTATCGAGATGGATGTGATTCAATTCAGTTGTTGTGGATAACGCAGTATAGAGTTGTTTCTTGTCCATTTTCTCCACATCATAAATATTATATGGGGTGCTTATTGTTCCTCCCTGATATTTATACACTTTAACACAAAATGATGGTATAAAAGATTCGCAAAAGTCACTGTGACTGAATATTGTACCATTAAGAATAAAATTGAGATTACCGTCTTCATTTTCCTCAACATTGTCAATGTTGTACTGCTCCATATTAAACATATCTTTATTGCGCATATTTTGTGTCACTAACATTGGCATTCTGGTTGTTACTTTATACTTTTCCCGGTGTCCTTGATACTTAAAATCGATCTCATAATATTCTTTATTTTCAGTAAATCTATTACAGCATTCTTGCGTGACATGCCGCCTTGTTTTATTCAGATAGCAAATATTATAGTAACTATCTTGTGGTGGTTGAAATTGGTGTTTGATACTACCACTCTTGAGAAACTTGGTTAACAGATCCCGTGTTTGTGGGTCGTATCGAGCATATTCCTCTATATACTTCATTTCAACCCGTCGTGGACACATCTCAGTTATTGGCACCGATTTGAAATAATCGTAAAACATATCCGTGGGCTCAACTGGGTCACATTGGTTAGTATCGCCAAACATGTAAATAGTGAGTTTATATTTAGAAAATGCCTGATAGAGCTTCGTCATCCACTTATTTGGGGTCATAGAATATTCGTCCACAAATATTGTTTTGCCCTCTAGTGCTGTTATATCACGCCCGTGATGATCACAAAAGACCCGTGTGAAATACCTCCATGGAATTCCATGGAAATCCATTGATTTCCATGGAAAATTCTCCATGGAATTCCATGGAGGATGAGGACATTAATTTCCATGGAATTCCATGGAAATTTCTCCATAGATTTCCATGGAAAATATTTGCATGGAGGATTAGGACATTTCCCATGGAATTCCATGGAAAACATTAGGGCACCAATTTCCATGGAATTCCATGGAAATTTGTGCATCGACATTTTCCATGGAGGATTGGGTCATTTTCTATGGAATTCCATGGAAAAGTTCCATGCAATTCCATAGAAACTACTCCACCGATTATTCCATGGATCTGCAGGGAGTTCCATGGAATTCACAGGAATTACACATTTAAAATATCCAGTGAATCAAATGGAATACATAACAGATTTTGGTCCACTGCAATTTATTTCATCAATAAAAGGACCGCATAAATCTCTTTTTAAAGACATCAATCAAAACTTAACATGCTTTTGGAGGAAAATTTGACATACTGTAGCTTAACAAATTAATGTTTACTTGTGACTATATACATTGCAGTTTAGAATGCAGCAATCATATTGAAGTAGCTTAAATGAAAAATTTAGATTTGATATAAAGCAAGGAATCTTGGCCTGGTGTTTAAGAACAGTAACAGGCGAACAGATGCATAATTGAGAGAAAAAATAAGCTAATACTTGAATGCATAAACCGTCAGTATGTAAGACTTAAACATGGCTTTATTTAATGCGACGAAAAAGGGAACTGCTACTTATTTCCTCGATCAGAACCACTATGGTATTTAGTTAAAGCAAAGTCCTACCTAATCCTTGGGAAAAAACGGCGACAGCCACAATTATAATTTATCAGTCTCTTGCATAGTTTTTACGTAGCAGGCATGAAAATTCTAAATATGATATTTCTTCTTGCATCGAAGCAGTCCATCAAAGTACAGTCTTCGATTTCTAATTCTGCCAGAAGTAGTAATTATTCCAAAGGATTCCAAAGGCAATTTGTAGGAAAGACCACATTCATATCTGTATAAACCAAAGATGGAAACTACATATTAAAACCGATAAACAGCACCCGAAAAGTCACCCTTCTAAATCTAGCAGAGACATATATAAATCGAGCAGACGAATTCAGTTGAGCAACCAAACACGAGTTGTGTACATATTAAGCTTACCTTCCTCTTTAATGTGCGATCCAGCTGAGTCATTGTTTAATCGAAGTCGATTTGAAAGAAGCCAAATGTAAGCAACCTCACAAGTGATATTTCGCGTTGAAAATGACATCTTTTCGGATGCATTCATCGCAAAGACAATCCGTTTACACAACACTGTCGTACTGCACAGAAGTCCGCCTAAAGATTCGAACCAAGAAAACTGATCTTCTACGCATTTCTATTGGTTCAAAAGCTCCACGTGATCGCGTAAGTCACTAAGCGGGGAGGTTTGGACGCCAGTTCAAGCAACAAATATGGCGTCAAATCACGGAACGATCGTGGAGATGTCTGTCTTTAAAGGCTTTAAATTGTGGTCCCTTTCAGAGTTAATTGTACTATTCCGACGCTGTAGAAGAGTAAAGCAGTGAGAGGAAAATATTGCATTGTTCTCCCAGGTGAGGGAACCTTTTAAAAAGGCAGCAGGCCTATTCATAGTCTGACCTTAGTGTCGTCACGCAACGCTCCTCCCCACTAAAAACGGCTGTGTAGCAGACTAGCCTATCCACGGATGTGGCAAAAAACTCTAATATTGCTCGTGTAGGTTCGCCGAAATACTCCATACAAAGCAATCTCATCAATCAGGTTCGAGTAATAGGGAAAATCTTAGCTCTCAACCAAAACACACTTCGATACCGAGAAGAGTTATGTGCTCAAGTGGGATCATTTCCAGTACTGGCTATTTAAGTACGGGACCTGTACATCGTCTTGTATTTGTTATTCATACGGGATTCCGACTAAACTGATTAGATCTATTTAAGCACTGACGCGAAACGGTTAGTCTCTAATTAGGGTAACGGTTGTTGTTATATGAATAAAATCAAACTCCAACTAGCAGCGAGTTACTACTCCGTGGTAGAGTGGTTAGACTACGAATTATGGATTCTACGCCCCTGGATCGGTTCTCAATCTTGCCACATCGAATTTTTCTTCTTTTCAAAATTTAACACTGAAATTTTTCCTTAAAAATGGAACAGTGGTTGAAGAGACTTACACTTTCATGGAAATTTGTTGATCAGAAATTTCAAGAGACTTAATAATTTAATATAAATTTCAAGTAGAGACTTGATCCCGTATGTCATAGCAAATACACGTCGGTGTAGGGGTCCTGTTAGCGGCACTGTGCCATTATGAAGCAACTGCATGTTGTTGATAACAGTGATCTTCTCATATTTTAAATGCAACTCTGATTTTAAAAGATAAATGGCAGACAGCCCTACTAAAAAAATAATTTTCTATATTTATTTTTTTTCAACAGGATCATTTTTTTATTAAGCACACAAAACATTCCTCTTTATAGTTAGCAATAAAATCTCTTACACTGGGACTTTCAGCGTCGGTGAACAATACTTTTGCATTGTCTGTGTAATTTAAACTAAACGCACTATTTTGCTTTTAGAAAGCTTCCAAATGTTTCCTATTTTTCTATCCAATAAAAAGTGCAGACTTGAACATGTGGTTAACAAGTTGATGAGTTGCTTGATTACTGAATTTCTATGGATTTTCTCATACAAACTGCATGGTATTCTATCGAACTCCATGGACACGCTATGGCATTCCATGGAACTGCACCGGTACTTCAGGGAACCCCATGGCATTCCATGGAACTCCACGATATTCCATGGAATTTCATGGCATTCCATGGAACTCCAGCACTACTTCATGGAACTCCGTGGAACCCCATGGCATTCCATGGAACTCCATGGATACTCCATGGAACTCCATGGCATTCCATGGAACTCCATGGATACTCCATGGAACTCCATGGCATTCCATGGATACTCCATGGGAGTTTCGTGGAATTCCATGGATTTCCATCGATTTCCATGGAATTCCATGGATTTCCATAGATTTCCATGGATTTCCATGGAATTCCATGGAGGTATTTCACACGGGGAACAGATCAAATGTATAACACTTCTTGGCTAACTCATAATTATTGTACACATCACATAATACCGATTTTACATTCTGGATAGCCTTATTAGTAAATGATAGGATTATGGGGTCATCAGCTGCTAGTGCCTTTTGGCATAATCTATATGTTTTACCACAGCCGGCTCCACCATAATAAATAGCACCCTCTCCCTTATAATCAGTGTAATTATCAGGATTAAAGTTCTCCCTGTAATGTTTCTCGAAATATACAGCCAGGCTATCAGTTTGGAATATTTGTCCGATACTATCTGTTGTAAATCTTTCTTGTTAGGATATTGGTTTTTAGCATTAGTCATAAATACGCCATCAGTATTGATTGCATACACTTGACTGATTCCATTGCCATCATTATCGTGACTCGCATTGTCATGTAGTATGTTCAGGCATTTTAATATAGACTGAGAGATTACAAAGCGGTTGATTGAAGTATTGTCAGAGAATATGCGCTCGATCTGTCTTTCTCTAATCAAATACAGTTCTTGTTTAGTGTTTGGATTCTGATAACTGTTTATTACCACGTCACGATTCTCAGCAAGAGCAGATGTCCAGATGCACTGTGCTGTATCGAGTGAACTGCATGTAAACCCATGGTCCTTGTGACTATATTTCCTCCCCAGCTCGCCGATGTAAGTATTTGCCAATAATTTTGCGTGAGATTCTGGAAACATTGAGAATATTGCTAACATGTAATTCTTGAATGTGTCTGGGGCTAATGTTTTCCGCGCTCGAATACGCCATTTACATTAGATATGGGCATCTTGAACTTTGTTATCAATGCGCGTATCAATGATTCGCTATAGAAACCAGCTTCAATTTTGACCCCCTTACCCAGTCGTTTGTCGATAACATATTCGTCGATATAATATTCGCCCACTCCAAATACTCCATTAAAGGGCTCGATAATATCGTGTATACTATAAAGGGGAATGGATATTTCATTATCGATCAGTATAGAAGGGTAACATTTTGAGATATCTAATGACACCAAATTATCGGGTGCTGGGTCTGTTGAACACCATTGTAGTGCTCGAGGATAGAAATCATCAAGTACTTCCCGTGTTTTGGTGTCACATTGTGATTCTGGCAAATAGCCTCTCATGTGTTTGAATAATGATGATGCTAAAGACGTGTATGACTGATTGCACCATATGAAGTCATAAGATTTGTATATTTTGTATAACCGTTCACAGATCGATTTACGGTTTTCATATTCGTTATTAAGAACATACATGTTGTTCTTGGGATCCATAAAGCCATCTAATCTGCCATTGTTATCGTAATGTAAATACTCGACAAAATAATTAGTCCTGATCATATATGCTTCAATAACAGGCTCGATTTTCATGTCAGGTGGCAAGACTATTACATGGTTCTCGATTGTCAACAATGTTGGTTTACCCTCTTCAGTAAGCTCATTATTTTCCAGTTCTTCGTACATGATGTAGTTACTCGATTTGTTAGACCATTTGACTTCTTACATATCGCGCCACAGATTATCGGCGCCACCCAGGTTGGCTTTTGTAGCAATCTGTTTGAGGCGGTCATCTTGAATGGGATATAAATGATGGTCTTTAATGTAGAATACTAATGTAACATCTGAATGACCATGCGATGTTATATGTTTCATAAATTTCCTCCACGTTGAATCATAAGCGTGGACTGATACATTTGGATGACATGCTTTAGCCCAATCAATTAACTCTTGTGTTGACATCATTGGAAAACTTGCTGTATATTCTTCTAACTCGTCACTTAATTTTTGATACGTACATTT